TGAATAACTTACTTGGGAAGGCTGTTATTGAATATTTCATGCATGAAATAATAATTTGAGTTGGTCTTGTAGGATGAGTAGGAGTTCTTCAGGTAAAGAAGGATGGAAAGGTTGTTACAAATCGAAGACACAGACTGTTCAGAGAATGAGTATGTTGATGTCTAGAGTAGAAGCATACTAGGTAGAAAACAAAGAAAGTACAAAAGCCCTAAGGCAGGAATATGTCTAGCCATTTTGAGAACAGCTAGAGATCAGTGTGGCTGTAGATGAGTGAGTGATGGGGAGAATAATAGGTAAGATCAGAGTTTCCTATTATGTAAGGTCTCGTAAACCATTATAAGGACTTTGACTTTTATCCTGAGTGAGACTGGGAAACATGGGAAGGTTTTGAGCTATGTTACATGATCTGATAGGAGCATGACAATGGATTAATACACAGAGAGACCAATTAGAAGGCTATTCTAGTAATTTACACAAGAGATGATAATGATTTGGACAAGAGTTGATGATAGATTTGGTGAGAAATGGAAAGTAGAATTTTCAGGATTTGTTGATGGGTTAGATGTAGGGTATTAATTAGAATGACAGAAAAGAGGGATAACTCTAGTATTTTTGTCCTAAGTAATTGGAATGGCAAAATTGCTGTTTATTGAGATGGATAAGACTGGAAGAGCAAGGTAAGACTGGGAAGAGCAAACAATCAGGTTTTTTTTTTTTTTGTACATGTTAAATGGAAAGTGCTGTATTCATCTGTTTTTGCATTGCTATAAAGAAATACCTGCGGCAGGGTAATTTATAAAGAAAAGAGGTTTAATTGGCTCATGGTTCTGCAGGCTGTACAGGAAGCATGATGCTGGCATCTGTTCAGCTTCTGGGGAGTCCTCAGGAAACTTACAATCATGGCAGCAGGTGAAGGGGGAGCCAGCACCTCACATGGCCAGAGCAGGAGGAAAAGAGAGAATGAGGAGACCACACACTTTTAAACAACCAGCTCTTAGAAGAACTCACTCACTCCCCATCACAAGAATAGCACCAAAAGGATGGTGCTAAACCATTCAGGAGAAACTGCCCCCATAATCCAGTTACCTCCCACCAGGCCCCATTTCCAACACTGGGGATTACAATTTGACATGAGATTTGGTGAGGACACAGATCTAAACCATATTATTCTGCCCCTGGTCCTTCAAATCTCATGATCCTCTCACATTGCAAAGTACAATCATGCCTTCCCAACAGTCCTCCAAAGTCTTAACTTATTCCAACATTAACTCAAAAGTTCAAAGTCTCATCTGAGACAAGGCAAGTGTCTTCCACCTATGAGCCTTTAAAACCAAAAACAAGTTAGTTACTCCCAAGATTCAATGGGGATACCATCATTGGGCAAATACTTCTGTTCTAAAAGGGAGAAATTTGCCAAAAGAAAGGGGCTACAGGCCCCATCTAAGTTCAAAACCCAGTAGGTTACTCATGAAGTCGTAAAGGCCCAAAATAATCTTTTTGACTTAGTATCTCATGTCAGGGCACATATGTGTGAGGGGTGGGCTCCTAAGGCCTTGGGCAGCTTGGACCCTGTGGCTTTGCAGGGTTCAGCCCCAACAGCTACTCTCATGGGCTGGCATTGAGTGCCTGCAGGTTTTCCTGGTGCACCACGCAAGTTACTGGTGGATCTACCACTCTGGGGTCTGGAGGACTGTGGCCCTTTTCTCATAGCTCCACTAGGCATTGTCCCAGTGGGGACTCACTGTGGGGACTTCAACCCTGCATTTCCCTTCAACACTGTTCTAGTAGAGGTTCTCCATGAGGGCTCCATCAGCACCAGGCTTCTGCCTTTTCCATACATCCTCTGAAATCCAGGCAGAGGCTCTTAAGCCTCAACTCTTACACTGTGTACACCAGCTTACAGTTTGCACCGTCTGAAGCAAAGGGAGGTGAAGCAAAGGTCACTTTTGTTATGCCTTAGCAAGGAATCTTTCACCCCCTCTTCCCCTTTTTAAAGGGGGAGAGAGAAAGTCTCAACCTCTGAGCTTTGGGACCCTCCAACACATTGGGGAAGTTGGAAGAGAGAAATAGAGAAAAACCAGAAATATGGCGATACAGAGAGCTAAGTGAATGAAGTGTTTTGGTGAGACAGAAGTCAGCAGTTTTAGTAGATGAAATAAAATAAGTATTAATAATTGACCATTGGATTTAGCAGTGTGCAGGTTATTGGTGATGTCGATGATGCTCAGTAGAGTGAATTTAAGCTGAAGTGAATTCATGGAAGGAGAGGAATTGGAGACAGTGAGAAGAGACAACCCATTAGAAGTTTTGCTGTAAAGTGGGGGACAGAAAGTTGTTCTTTGGGAAAATAGGAGTTAAGAAGCTTTTGTTTTTTTGTTGTAATTATGTTTTAAGATGGAATAAATAATAATCATGTTTATATGCTGATGGTAATGATCCATCAGAGAAAGAAAAATTGCTGGAGCAATGTCTTTGTCCAGTCAAGCAGGGATGGGATTTAGTGCATAAGGGGAGAGGCTGGCATTAGATAGAAACATAGACATTTCATCTTTTATGACAGAAGGGAAGGTGTATTATATGGATATAATTTTTATATAGTAGGTAGGAAGATGTGGTGGGGGCTTTTGAAGATTCTTTTCTAATTTATTTTTTCTCAGTGAAATAGAAAGCAATGCCGTAAGTTGAAAGTTAGGATAGGGATGTTAGAGACAAGAAGAGAAAAAGTCATCTAGGAGAATGAGACAGTTAATACACAAGGGGAATGTAGTCTGATTTCTGGGCGGAATTAAAGCCCCATTTGAGATTAGTAGTCATGAATTTAAAGTGACATAAGCCAGGTGTGATGTCTCGCACCTGGAATCCCAGCACTTTGGGAGGTAGAAGCAAGTGGATTGCTTGAGCCCAGGAGTTTGAGACCAGCCTAGGCAATATGGTGAGATCCTGTCTTTACAAAAAATACAAAAATTAGCCAGGTGTGTTAGTGCATGTCTATAGTTTCAGCTGCTAGGAAGGCTGATGTAGGAGGATCACTTGAGCCTGGTAGTTTGAGGCTGCAGTGAGCCATGATCATGCTATTTCACTCCAGCCTGGGTGACAGAGGCCCTGTCTCAATAATAATAGTAATAATGATAATAATAAAGTAATATCAGTCAGCAGCCACATTAGCTGTGCAATTGCAGGTGCTGAATAAGTAGAAAGTTGGGCTTTTGCTGAGCAAATGAAATGAAGTCAGAGGTAAGTTGTCAGTGTATACAAGAGAATGATTATGAAACATGAATATTTGTGATTGTATTTTTCATAATAGCCAAAAACTGGAAATAACCTAAATGTTCATCAACTAATTAATGAATATATAATGGAATATTAGCCATATAAAGAAATGAAGTACCGTTATATGCTACAACATGAATGAACTTTGAAAACATCATGCTCAGTGAAAAAACAGGTGTAAAAGGCCGCATATGATTCCATTTTTATGTAGTGTCTGTAATTGGCAAATTCACAGAGAAGATAATTAGTGCTATGATTGGAGCTGAGTGGAGGAGTAAAAGGGAGTGACTGTTAATAGGAACATGGTTTCTTTTTGGAATGATTACAATATTCTGGAATTAGATAGTGGTAATAGGTGCACAACTCTAAACATACTAAAAATCCCTTTAGAAAGGCAAATTTTATGGTATGTGAATTATATCTTAATAAAGCTATTAGAAAATAACATGCTAGTTATTATCTCAGATGAGCAGCTCAGAATTAAACAGCTCAGAAAGTTAGTCTAATGTAGGACTAAGGTGAACAAGGAGTTGTGTTACAATGTTTGCAGTCTCTTTTCAAGTTTGAAGATTACAGTTGTTTTTTTCTCAAATATCCCTCAGTATTAAAAAGTAATTGGCTAAGTTGCAGAGCTTGTGAGGAGAAACCAAATCTGGCTCTGTCTTAATTACTTGGTATATTCATCTCTCCATCCCTTCCTTTCTCCTCCTAGTTAACAAACCTTTACTAAGCTATACAAATCACCACGCACTATCCTGGGTGCTACTGGTGATACAAAGATGGATTGGACTTGGTCTCTACCCTTGAATGTGAGGGTTAGTAGGGAAACGAGTTTAGGAATTTGGACCACATTTCATTTTTAAGGTGAGGCTACTTTAATTGTTCTTCAGCATCCTCCCATCTATAGCTTATAGATAAAGTATGCACACAAGGCATATGAAACTTATTTGGATCTTTAAGCTTGAAGCATTCTTCCTTTTGTCTCACATTCTTTCTCCTGTTACTTCAAAGTATTTTGGGGCTTATCAGATGAAAACTCACAATAATTTTCTTTCTTCTGATGCTCTAGACCTGAAATGTTTTTTATAAAAACCTCAAAATTCAAAATTATGATGTATGTTAGGTCAAGTGTGCATACTGGTACTATCTGCAAAACAATTAATGTTTACCTTGCAGGATTGTCGTGAGGATTGTCAGTGAGAATACGTAATTACCTTGCAGGATTATCAGTGAGAATACATAATGTTTACCTTGCAGGATTGTCAGTGATAATACATAATTCGTATATGGAAGTGTCAAACACAGTACCTGAAACGAGCTCCTCAATAAACATTATTATACTTTATCACTTTGGTAAGATCTACAAACACTAATTTTGTATAGAGAGATATGTTGAGATTACAGATACAGACCTAAACAGACAAACCCTAATTCCAAAGAGTTTGCCATTCATTGATGGAAATTAATTGGTTCAGAGATGTTGGCCATGTCAACCTTATTATTTAATAACTGAATTAACTTACTACAAATCTTTCTGTGTTTTCCACCTTGGATTTTTATATCATAAAAATGTAGAATTCTTAACTCATGACTGTATGAAAAATAGATACTTGGATCATGCTTTTTAATGATTATAAGCTAATTATATTTTTAATCTCATGCCTAGCTGAAATGTAATGCTGCATGCTGGGCTTTGAATTTACTAAAAAGTTCTTTTGTTATCCTCCTAGAATGCAGCTGGTTTGTCAAAATCCAAAGGAAGCCGAATTGGATTTGATAGCATACAGTGGGTACGTAGAATAAATAAGAAGTTTCTCAATTATAATGTTCATTTAGTTCATTCATTTACTCCATAATTATTTGTTGAATGATGGCAATAATAATAGCTACCTTGGGTGGTGGGTGGCCGGTTAGTAGTGGCAGGTAAGGAACAGGCCCTTTACTAAGTGCTTTATATGCAATATCTTACTTAGTCCTTAAGGAAACTTTAAGAAGTGAGTAAATATTGTTACTCTCCATTCACTTAGAGAGATTAAGTTTAGTTGGCCAATAATTTGGTAAGACCAGATTCTGTCTGCCTCTAAAACCTTCATTCACTTAGCTATGTATGATGTTTCCCTAAATGAATGAATATGAGAATCAGATTTATTTGAGTAAGCGAAAAGTAATGATCAGGAATAAAAATCTATTCAACATAGTTTCTTTATAAGATGAGGAGAAACCAGCAATATATACAATATATCCTTGTTTTGTTTTACAAATTTCAGAACCTGCACATTGATTAAATATATTTTCCTATGTTTTAAAACTAAATTTAGAAAGAAAAGCATTGCTGTGTTACTAATAAAAAATAACTTTTATTCTGTTAGTATACATTATGGGAATGACCAGATATTTCTTGATACACTTCAGTCTTTGGCTTCTCTATAACCAGAGATGTGGAAGGCTTTAAATTAGAAGTGGATTTAAGATCACTGAAAAAAGATCACAAGTAGTGGTCTCTTTAGGTCATTGCTAACACCAAGTAGATTTGAACTACTGTTTAAAAAGTAAAGTCTGGGATATCCTGTTATCAGTCTCCTCAGCTGTCTGTAAGTATCAGTGTAAAATTTAATTTGTTAAAAATAGCAGTTGTTTTGCTCTGTGAATTTAGGGTATTCTCAGAATAAGCATGATATACTTGGTAATCATGCTTGCTTGATATACTTGGAAAAGGTGAGCATGATATACTTGGAATTTATACTACCCAGTCAATTATAAAGATTTTAGATTAAATTAAAAAGGGGTATTTTGTATGCTTCTCTGTAGCCCTTCTCTACCTCCATCCCACCCTTAGGAAACACGTACACATAATACTTGGACCAGATTTATCATCCTGTTGTTAAAATAATTTACTGAGATTCAAAATTCAGTGTTTAACAGCCAAAGGCAACAGGGGTGATCTATCGTAAAATTTAATATTGTAAGATGTGATGATACTTAGAGAAACATAAATTTTTCAGGTTTGCCATTTATTAGGAGTCTTCATCTGTACATTGAAGAACAATTTCAGAAAAAAATTTAAAGCTGTAATAGCTTCAGTAGGATAAAAGATTTTCCTTTGTCAGTATTAACCAACAACATTCCCAAACCTTTTCATAAATAGAGCAGTCAGAGTAGGTACAGGTTCACTGATATATTTTAAAATGGAATTTGTGAATATTTTAAAGCTTAAAATAATAGAAAAAGGTAGCTTGACTCTAACCTTTTCATTCAAGAGATGATCCTTGAGGTGAGAGAAAATAATGGATTTTTTTCAAAGTCTTTACTTTCACGGTACACAAGCAAAAAGTTGAAGAGCAGCTTACCACATTCAGTGAGTTCTCCTTATACTCTTTTATGTTGAGGGGACTAAAAAAAATTGCAAATGTGGTCACTGAATCACTATATTTGCAAAATTACAGGAAGGGAGAAGCACTGACATACTCTCATTCTAAACTTTTAGAAGGAATAAAAGGTGAAACCTCATCAATAAGTGTGATATTGAGCCCTGGTAAAATTCTAGGGCTAAATGTTTAATGAGTTATTAAACAGATGACTTGGTAGCACTTAGAAAAGAAAGTGATCATAATTAGGAACTAGCCTTTTACTAAGAACAAGTCCTGCCTAATTTTATTAGATTTTAATAAAATTTTAATACGGAGACAGATGAATAGGGTGTTATGATCTCAGCCTAACCGCTTTTGAACAAGATGTTTTTCATTCTTATAAACAAAATGAATTACTGAAGATCAGATGATAATAGTGATTTAGAATTAATTGGATTTAGAATCAATTGGATATGTTTTCCAGGAGCATTAATGATTGTATTGATAACAACTTGGAGGATATGTTTAGAAGGTGAGTTATAGACTCTCTCCTTGACTCTGACATACTCTGTATTTATATTAATAATGATAATGAAGCTGTGTGTTCATCATATTTGTATTTAACACCAAGCTGAGGTCCGTTCAACAAACATTTAAACACCTTTTATGTAGTAGTTCTGTTATCTCATCTTTCTTCCAAACCATTTCTTTCTTGTTTTTTTCCCTAGTATAAAGCACAGAAAGCAATAACCCTGAAAGACACAAAAACAGCTAAAATGGACTATTAAAATTTTAAACTTCTACTCATCAAAAAATATCATTAAGAAAATGAATAAGGATGTCACAGAGTAGAAAATATTTGCAAAACATGTATCTCACAAAGGAACAGTATCAAAGATATATGAAGAACTCTCACTCAACTCAGTAATAGATTTTCTGTTCATGCCCTTTATCAAGTTGAGGAAGTATTTTATTCCTGATTTGCAGAAAGTTCGGTTTTTTTTTGTTTTTTTTTTTTTGAGATGGAGTTTCGCTTGTGTTACCCAGGCTGGAGTGCAATGGCGCCATCTCGGCTCACCGCAACCTCTGCCTCCTGGGTTCAGGCAATTCTCCTGCCTCAGCCTCCTGAGTAGCTGGGATTACAGGCACGTGCCACCATGCCCAGCTAATTTTTTGTATTTTTAGTAGAGATGGGGTTTCACCATGTTGACCAAGATGGTCTCGATCTCTTGACCTCGTGATCCACCCACCTCGGCCTCCCAAAGTGCTGGGATTACAGGGGTGAGCCACCGCGCCCAGTCCTTTATCTTTAAATTCTTGATATTTTACCTGTTTGTTTATCTTGTATATATTTTTATGAGTTCCTTCAGATTTTCTGAATAAGAATTTATTCTTAATTTCATGAAGCACCTTTTTGATCAGCAAACATTTCTTTAAATTAAGTCTTGCTTTCCTTGAAGTACACTTTTAGGCAGTAGTGTATGCCAGATACTCTGTGTATCTTTGCGGCTCTTAGGTATTACTTACTCCTGAGTGTGATTTAGTCAGTTTTCATTCTGCTTTTGAAGTTTTTTCTTTCAGTAGGGGACCTGACTTACTATCTAGCAGATTTATATTTTGAAATATTGCAGTATTAGAAAAGCACATTATATATGGCAGCCATCAAGCAGGCAGTGTATTTTGGTCTGAGACTTTTGCTTAGAAAGATTAAGTAGCATTACAGATATGAAGAAAAATGGTACAAACAACTGATTTTTGTTTTTGAAAGATTAACAATATTGATTTTTAAAAACAGATAGTTCTTCTCTGAATTTTGCTTGAAAAGATTTAGCTAATACTAAGAGAATAATTTTGTAAGGCCCCACATTTTCATGTCAGATACCACTTCCTCTGAAATTTCTTATCCTTTTGATGTACAGAAAATTTGTAGCTTACTGGTCTGTACTTTTATAATATGTTGTATTTTTTGTTTGTTTGTTTTGCTTTGTTTTTGTTTTTTTTTTTTTTCGAAACAAAGTCTCACTCTGTCACCAGGCTGGAGTGCAGGGACACAATCTCAGCTCACTGCAACCTCTACCTCCTGGGTTCAAGTAATTCTCCTGCCTCAGCCTCCTAAGTAGTTGGGACTACAGGTGTGTGCCACCACACCCAGCTAATTTTAGTATTTTTAGTAGAAACGGGGTTTCACCATGATAGCCAGGATGGTCTTGATTGCTTGACCTCATAATCTACCCACCCCAGCCTCCCAAAGTGCTGGGATTACAGGTGTGAGCCACCGTGCCCAGCACATGTTGTATATGTTTTTTTAATAGCATATTTCACCTTATGTTGAAAGTATTCATCTTTCTTAGAAGACTACTTATTGAGAGCAGAGACCATATGTGTTATTTAATTGTTTATATTTTTAGCACAGATAAGCATGTATCTATTGGGTAAACACTCTATGCATTCTTATACAATGAATGAATAAAAATGTAATAAAATAGGCTATTGTGTTGGTTTACTGGAATTATGAGAATTCTTTTTCTCTCAAACAGCGTGCAGTTAAAAAATTTATTATGCTAACATCCAACCAAAATGTACCAGTGTTTCTTATTGATCCTTTGATATTGGAATTGATTAACAAGAACTTTGAACAAGTCAAAAATACTTCTTATGGCTCCACTTCAGAATGCAAATTTTTCTGTGTTCCAAGAGACTTTACCGCATTTGCACTGCAGTATCACCTAAGGAAGAATGAGGTAAGTGATTTGCTTTCAGATAATAGAATATGTCTCTTTTTACAAAATAGTATGGAATTAGGCTAGTTTAAAATGTAAAACATTAACAGAGTTTTCTAAAACACTTCATAAATTGCATCAGGAATGTTTTCAGCTTTAAAAAACAATACAATTAATCACTAAGGCAGATAGGGGATTTATTTTTCTTATATAATGAGAGGTTAAAAGGTTAGTGGCTATTGATATTAGTTTAGCTAGCCACTGATGTCAGAACTTGTATCTCTGAAATTCTTTACTCATTTCCCTCATTATCACACGATAGCTGTCATAATTCCAGATACCACATCCATGTTCACAGCAGGAAGACGAGAGGAAGGATGCTGTTTTTTTGCCTGGGGAGACTCCTCAGTATCAGTATTTTTAGGTCATTTCTGTTGAACTGTTTGATATCTCATAGAAAAAGCCTACAAGGCTTATAAATAATTTTTACAAAGAATATTTTATAATGTCACTTTATTTTCCCCAAATGAAGTTCATAGAAATTATAACCTTCCTATATACATAATTCCCCAAATCAATATAATGTCTTAACTATAATATAATGTAGAAATAAAAGGAAATGATGTGTATTTCAGTGTGCCGATGCTCCAACATGACTATACTGGAAGACATAATAAAGTAATTCAAATGCTTGTATTTAGAAGTAGGATCACAGAAAATAGTAGCTACAAATATAAACTTATACTATGAATGGTATTATTGATGGTAATATGATTTTCCAAAGTAGTGAGCAAGTTTCCAACAACAAAAATGTAAAATTGTCTCTCCATTGACATAACTATTGTATTCCTGAGAAATAAAGGCTCAGACAATTATAAACAAATTTTTTACTATGTGATTATCTGACAGGACACTTGAAATTTAGTACACAGAATAGATTTTTGTATTTTGGATTGTAGTATATCTAGTGCTCTTGGCCTAGGACTCTAAATGCCAATTTATTAATATGATAAACCAAAAATATCCCCACAAATTTTTAAAATGTCTATTTTGAGAACTATTATTTTAGAAGAAGCGGAATATGCCACAATTGGCAAAACTGATACTACCATAGTCAGAGGAAGAAGCAAAAGCTCAGTCATGCCCAGAATCAGCACATGGGTTCAAATTTATCCTTTTATACATATGACATCCTACTATTCAGGAGATTCAAGAGCCCTTGAGTAGTCCCCCCTAAAACGTCCTCCTGTGTGGAGCTAATTAGATTGTTAGGTTTAATAATGAAAGGCTCTATTTGCATGTGATTTTTCTTTATTAATGCCATTACCATAAAATGAGCAAACCTCTGCCAAGACAAACTGGGAGTGGACTTTTGCAGCACAACCTTGACCTCGGCCTTTATGTCAGTTGATCAGAACAACTATTTTCTTTTCTACTTCTCTTGTTGATGGTTGTAAGAAAGCAAACCATATCATAATTCTGCCTATTTTATCTGTCAGTCTTTCCTCCTATAACCCAAGGTCACGTTCCTCTCAAGATCTGGCTAGCCTTTAAATATTTCCTGATTTATCAGCTGATAATGCTTTCCTTTTATTCTATTCAGTAGTCCTTCTGTGAATTGGCCAACCTCACCCTCAGTCAGTACTTTCTACTTCTTAGGTGTACCAAGAAAGAAAAGGGAAAAAGGGAATATTACACTTGATAATGAAACAAATGATGTTGGAAAATGAACCTTGTCTTATGTTATGTTTGTTTACTTTCTAATGATTTGCATTATAATGGTGTTCTATTATGGTAGTATTTTAAGGTGTTGGGATACAAACTATGAGATGAAAGAGCTACTTTTTTGAAATACTTTTGAAGATAAAGGTTATAAAAGTTAAGAATTCCAAGTTTAATTTTAAGTGCTGTTCTTAAATCAACATTTACTTTATAGAAACTACCCAAGAAACACTAACATGAGCATTCTCATTCCAAGGAAGTGATTTGTATTAATTTTCATAAAGAGAGTCTTTTTTATTTTTTGCGACAGGGTCCCACTTTGTCACCCAGGCTCGAGTGCAGTGCGCGATCTTGACTCACTGCAGCCTTGACCTCTCAGGTTCAAGCAATCCTCCTGACTCAGACCCACAAGTAGCTGGGACTACAGGAATACGCCGCCACACTCAGCTAATTTTTTTTTTTTTTTTTTTCTAGAGATGGAGTTTCACCGTGTTGCCCAGGCTGGTTGCAAACTCCTGAGCTCAAGTGATCTACCTGCCTCAGCCTCCCAAAGTGCCAGGATTATGGGAATGAGCCACAGTGCCCAGCCTGTAAAAAGAGTCTTTGGCTATATCTTTCCTGCTACATACTTTGTCTTTTTGCTACTTTCCTTTATTCTTCCACCACTACCTTCTGCCCATCACCCTCATTTAAAAATACTGTTACAGAGCAGATTTGCACAAAAATATGGCTCAGTTCAATATAAGAATTACTTTAGTTTTGCTACTAGTATTTGGCTGTAAATATTCAATGTTTAAATTTTTTTTTTGATGTTTGATGCTTCTTTGGTTCTAGGAAGGCTGGATTCAGGTAGCTGAGAATATGGGATTTCAGTGCATAAAGATTGAGAGCAAAGATCCCCGGCTAGATGGGATAGACTCACTTTCGGGAACTGAAATCCCCCTGCACTATATCTGCAAATTGGCCACTCATGCGATCCACTTGATAGTCTTTCATGAGAGGAGTGGCAACTACCTGTGGCATGGCCACTTGAGACTCAAAGAACACATTGACAGGAAGTTTGTTCCCTTCCGAAAGTTACGGTTTGGTCGTTATCCAGGAGCTTTTGACAGGTAAGTTCAGAGTCAAAAAGTGAAATGTGAAATCAGTGTTGTTCAGTCATGAATTCTTGCAGTGTTTTTATGTTTGAGTATTGAAATCTAATATATAACTTATCTAAGTGTTTATAATAGCGTTGTTCTTAATGCCTCCAAATTAGAAGCAACCCAGATGTCCTTCTACAATAAAAAGATCGGCTGGGCGCAGTGCCTCATGCCTGTAATCCCAGCACTTTGGGAGGCCAAGACAGGTGAGGTCAGGCGTTCGAGACCAGTCTGGCCAACATGGTGAAACTGCATCTCTACAAAAAAATACAAAAATTAGCTGTGCGTTGTGGTTTTGCCTGTTATCCCAGCTACTGGGGAGGCTGAGGCAGGAGAAGCACTTGAGCCCAGGAGGGGCAGACATTGCAGTGAGCCAAGATTGTGACACTAACACTCCAGCCTGGGCAACAGAGCAAGACTCTGTCTCAAAAACAAAACAAAGAAAAACTATAAAAGAATAAATAATTTTTTATATTCATATAGTAAAGTATTACAAAGCAGAAAAAATAAACTAGAAGTCTGTACACATCATGGATGAATCCTACAATGCTGAGTGACACAATCAAGGCACAGAAGAATGTAAATATTATGATTAGTTTTATAAAAAGTTCAAACACAGGCTAAATTACGTTCATGGATGTATACCTTTATAGTAAAAGTTAAGAAGACTAAGGAAGAGGTACCAGAAAAGACTGGATAGAGAAGTCTGGACAGAGAACTACAGGGAAGCTGGCAGAATTTCATTTCTGTGGTGGAGACTTTGGTGTTTACTTAATAATTCATTATTTTGTACCTTTGTATTATATGCACTTTCCTGTATATTTTTTAAAACTTTGTGCAAAACTTTATCTTTGGCTAGTGCAATAATAAAAATGCTTCTTGTAAGAAACAGTTATTTGAAGGAACTTAAGTAAAATTTGATTAGCTATAGTTTGTAATAGTAACAATTACAGGATTAAAAACATTCTTGAAGTTATACTTGGAGTATGAAGTTTCTAACCTAGAATTGTCCTTTTTATTCTCCTTTTGAAATCAGTAATAACAGTGTTACAATCTGTTTTGAATAGCAGAATCTTGATGTAAAGGTAGCAGTAAATATTTGTAAGGATTTTCACATTTAAAAACTCCTCCTCAGCAACTTCCAGTGAGAATGCTTATCTGCTACACTTGAGAAGTGTAAGAGTATGTTTATTCGTGCCTTTACACACACACACACACACACACGTTTTTTCTCCCTTTTTCTATCTAGAATCATGTGAGATTGCCTTCTTACTAGTACTTAAAGTCACATATTTGAGAACGACTGAAAAAGGTATTCAAAACTGAAGTCTTCTGTATTTTTTGGGTATGAAAATTCAAAACTTTTCTGAACCAAACCATATTTTCAAAATAAAATGACCAAAAAAATAAGTAGAGATGGAGAAAAATACTTTGTTTTTATTATTGGCTCCTCTTATTTTAGTCAAAAATCTTTTTTCTTTCTTTTTTTTTTTTATTTTAAGACGGAGTCTCATACTGTTGCCTGGGCTGGAGTGCAATGGTGCTATCTCAACTCACTGCAACCTCTGCCTCCTGGGTTCAAGCAATTCTCCTGCCTCAACCTCCTGAGTAGCTGGGGTTACAGGTACTTGCCAGCTACTTGGTATGATCAGCTAATTTTTTTTTTTTTTTTTTTGGAAAGACAGGGTTTCACTATGTTGGCTAGGCTGTTCTCGAACTCCTGACCTCAGGATCCACTCACCTTGGTTTCCAAAACTTCTGGAATTACAGGCATGAGCTACCATGCCTGGCTTTAGTCAAAATCTTAATACTCACTATTCTCTTGCTACTTTTTTGCATTTTTTTTCCTTATTCTGTATTTCAAATAACCCTCTTTAGGGACACATTATCTTTTAGTTTTTTAAAGCTTTGTGACTTTATTTCAAAGTTTTATAACTCAGTAAAGTTCAAAATTGTCAGTTACTTATTAAACATAAATGTGTGACAACAGATAAAAACTGTCTCTGCATTGTAAAATGTTATACGAATAGGAATGGAAAACTCTCAAATAATATTTTTAGAGTATGGGATCCAAAATGCATAAGATAGATTTGCAGATTAGCATTTTACCCATTAACGAGACTCTCAGGCCATTGTATTTAACTTGTGTGACTTAAGTGTTAAAAACATTTGCTTCTCTAAAAGTAAACTGAAAATAGCCTGGGGAGAAATGCCAAATGTGGGTGAAGGGGAGGAAGGCAGCAAAACACACTGCCATGTGTGTACCTATGCAACTATCTTGCATGTTCAGCACATGTACCCCAAAACCTAAAATGCAATTAAAAAAAAATTATGTCACATAACTTTTCTTTCTGCTTAAAATGCCAAAGTGTGTAGGAACAAGTACAAATATATAAATATATAAATTACATTAACCAAAATAATTAAAACTCAACCATTGTTTGATATTAGATTTTTCAAGGTCTTACTTAAGTTGCTAATTGATAGCTGAAGTAATTGATGAAAATATGCTTGATGTTTAGGTATTTTGCTAATGTTTGATATTTTTAAGAGGTTGCCAGTATTCTGGATTAAATCCTTTTAATAAATTTTATATTATTGTTATTATTTTACTTTAAGTTCTGGGATACATGTGCTGAACTTGCAGGTTTGTTAGATAGGTGTACATGTGCCATGGTGGTTTGCTGCACCTATCAACCCGTCATCTAGATTTTAAGCTCTGTGTGCATTACATATTTGTCCTAATGTTCTCCCTCCTCTTTCCCCCGACCCCCCATTAATATATCTTAACTTTTGTTTTCAGGCCAGAGTTACAGCAAGTTACTGTTGATGGACTGGAAGTTCTCATTCCAAAAGATCCAATGTACTTTGTAGAAGAAATACCACACTCTAGGTTTATTGAGTGTAGGTATAAAGAAGCTCGAGCATTCTTTCAGGTTAGAGACAACCAAATGTGTACTTTTAAATTAAAGAAAATGTTGGGATTATTTTTATTTTATTTTATTTTATTTTTTGAGACGGAGTTTCGCTCTTGTTACCCAGGCTGGAGTGCAATGGCGCCATCTCGGCTCACCGCAACCTCCGCCTCCTGGGTTCAGGCAATTCTCCTGCCTCAGCCTCCTGAGTAGCTGGGATTACAGGCACGCGCCACCATGCCCAGCTAATTTTTTGTATTTTAATAGAGACGGGGTTTTACCATGTTGACAAGGATGGTCTTGATATTTTGACCTCGTGATCCACCCGCTTCGGCCTCCCAAAGTGCTGGGATTACAGGCGTGAGCCACTGCGCCAGGCCTGGGATTATTTTTAATATTTGAGGATGGTAAGCTGAAGGGACTAATGGAAAATAGAAAAGTAAACATCCTTTTTGATGTGTCTATTTTCTTCTGGCTTGTTTTCTTTCAGTTTTTTTAAAAAGTAGATTAAAAGTTAACGTTAAAAACCAATTTTCTAAGTGAATTGATATTTATTTACTGTTTTGTTTGAATAACTTTAATAAATTTAGCACTGGCTTCTGCCTTGAGTTAAGATAGCCCATTAACTTTGTAAAAGACGGGGTATTCTCAATCCAAGTAGGATAAAGCCACTATAGAAGATGGATCGTATATATTTAGAAAAGACTTCATGAAAATATAGTTTGTTTCAGACTTGGCATTGAATCTTTTTTTTTTTGCATTTGTGAAGGTTTTTGAAGATAAATGCTACAAAAAGACTAAGTGCTTTTAAAACTTTATTCTCCTGCTGCAGCTTTCAATTCAATACACACTTAGTGAAAGGTAAATATTCCCAGGCTTCTGGCTCTGGGAATATAAAGATGATTTTGAAATGCATGAAATTCAGCTCTAAGAGATGACATGAAACACAGAGATACAGTGAAAACAGGCAAATTTACAGTGAGGTTTTGGTACCCTAATTCTTTCACTTGCCCTTTATTCTCTGGGGTTCCCTGCCAAGAAAAGCTATATCCACTAGGGAAGAAACACAATGAAATATGTTACAGTCAAGTGCCCAAGACCTACAAATCAGGTTTTTCTAATATAGTGTACTGGCACCTAAAGCTGAGGCCTGACAGCCCAAGTGGGCCTTCCTAGCCCTATTTCCTTAAGTCATTGTGGAGCTGGGAAATTTATGCAGCCAGCCTCATGAATAAAAATCTGAAAAACCACATGTGTGTTGGGCCTGCTTTAGTAGAATAGTGCTGCCTGACATATTCCCACCACACAGTAACAGGAAGTAGAAGAGATGGAGTTTCATGCTTAAACTTGACCACTCTTCCTGTCCTAAAGGAGTTTGCTCTGGTTGTCATCTCTGTTATGCAATTATCACAGTGAATTTTGAATATCTGTCTTGTCCTCTTACCAAATTTTATGAACTTCTTGATAACAGGTATGTTCTGTTTTTTATTTGCCTGCGTTGGCCCAGTATCTACTATTACCCGGTACAAAGAAAAGATCCAGTAGGGTCAGTTTTCAAATTAAAGTGAACGTACATGTATTTGAACACTTGATGGCGCCAAACAGTCTTAAATATAATGCTTGGTGTAAAACAAGCAATGCATTAATCTAATAGACCTCATAAAGCAGTCTCCTTTTATAAAAAAAAAAAATTTTTTTAAACAATTTTAAATACATAAAACCTGCAAGTACACTACCAATACCTTTTTTTCCTGAACCACTTGGGAGTAACATGTTGACCAGATGCCCCACAACTTCAAAAAATTTAGTATTTTTAAAAAAGAGGAACATTCTCTACATGTCCTAATATTAAAGTTAGGAAATTAACATGTACATTTTTACTATTTAATCCCTGTTCAAGTTTTGTGAGTTGTCCCAGTAATAGCCTTGGTAATAAAAGGATTCAATTCAAAATCATATGTTGTCTTAATTTTCCTGTCTTTTTAGTCTTCTTCAGTCTGGGACAGTTTCTCAGTTTTTTTTATTGCTTTCATAATTTTAATACTTTTGAAGATTACAAGCCAGATGTTTTGTGCAGCGTCCCTCATTTGGGGTTTGTCTGGGGGTTCCTCGTGTTACATTTAGGTTATACTTCTTCAGAAGGTTACAAGTGGTGCCCTGTTCTCATTACTTCTCATTGGGCACAGCATAATTTTGTTTTGTCCCATTACTGCTGATATTCACATTGTTCACCTAATTAAAGTGCTGTCTGTGAAACTTCATATCTTCACCACTATGAAGTTTCTGTTTTTCCCTTTGTAATAATAAGCATCTGGCAAGAAGTTACTTTAAAACTATGTAAATATTGTTTTCCTCATTACATTTTCAGTTTATTTGTTCATATCAGTATGCATTCATGGTTTCCTTTTTTACCCAATGGGTAATTAATGAGCTCCAGCCTGTTGAATATCAGTGAAAAAACACAAGTAAAGTTGGCATACCTGTACACCTGGCCCAGGAATATCTAGATAGCAACATTCTTGTTTAACTTCTGCTAATTTGCTCTAAGATTTTGGGCAATTTTCTGAGCCTTAGTTTCCTCAGCTATGAAAAAAGTTGGTACCTTTTGTCATCTTATTCTTTGATATAAAATTCGTGGTTTTGGATTCCAAGATTCTTCTTGGGCTTTGTGTCCCCATTCATTGGCTGCACAGGAAAAATTAAATAAGCATGATATTTAAATTAGAATATTAATTTAGTCTTTTTTAGAGGAATAGTATTTCTAAGATTTGTACTTGGAATTTATTTTTATATAATTACTTAATTTATTTTATTTTTGACTTTTATTTTAAGTTCCGGGTGCAGGTGCAAGTTTGTTACATAGGTAAACTTGTGTTGTGGAGGTTTGTTGTACAGATTATTTCACCACCCAGGTGTTAAGCCCAGTACCTGTTAATTTTCCTGATCCTTTCTCTCCTTCCCCCATCCAAAAGTACTCACTGTGTGTTTTTCCCCTCTATGTGTCCACCATGTGTTCTCATCCTTTAGCTCCTACTTGTCAGTGAGAACATGCAGTATTTGGTTTTCTGTTCCTGTGTTAAGTTTGCTACGGATAATGGCCTCAGCTCCATCTGTGTCCCTGCAAAGAACATGGTCTTATTCTTTTTCGTGACTGCATAGTATTCCATTGTGTATATATACTACATTTTCTTAATCCAGTCTATCATTGATGGGCACTTAGGTTGATTCCATATCTTTGGTATTGTAAATAGTGCTGTAGGGAACTCACACATGTATGTGTCTTTATAATAGAATGAATGATTATACATTATCAGGTACGTATACCTGATAATGGAATTGCTAGGTCAAATGGTATTTCTGTCTTTAGGCCACTGAGGAATCACCACACTGTCCTCCACAGTGCTTGAACTAATTTATACTCCCAGCAACCATGTATAAGAGTTTCTTTTTCTCCAAAATCTCAACAGTTTCTGGGGTTTTTTATTTTTATTTTTTATAGTATCCATTCTGATTGATATTAGGTAGTATCTCATTGTGGTTTTGATTGCATTTCTCTCTAATGGTCAGTGATGTTGAACTTTTTTTCATATGATTGTTAGCCACATGTATGCCTTTTGAAAAGTGTCTGTTCATGTCCTTTGCCTACTTTTTAATGGGATTGTTTGCTTTTTCTTGTAAATTTGTTTAAGTTCCTTATAGATGCTGGATATTAGACCTAATATCTATGATTTGCAAACCATAGTTGGTAAAAATTTTCTCCCATTCCTTAGTTACCTTTTTACTCTGTTAATAGTTCTTTTGCTGTGCAGAAGCTCTTTAGTTTAATTAGATCCTATTTGTCAATTTTTGCTTTTGTTGCGATTCCTTTTGGCATCTTCATGAAATTTTTGCCTGTGCCTATATCCTGAATGGTATTGCCTGGGTGGTCTTCCAGAGTTTTTGTAGTTTTGGATTTTACATTTAAGTCTTTAGTTCATCTTGTACAAGCTAGTTTTAAATGAAAAAAAGGTATGTATACTATGTTTAAAGTGTATAATAGATGTTTAAGGTATATAGGTGTATGCATGTATGCAGTTTGACACATACTAGGATCAGTTCCAAGAAATGGAATTTCTGGCCAGGTGCGGTGCCTCATGCCTGTGATCCTAGCACTTTGGAAGGCCAAGGCAGGTGGATTGCCTCAGCTCAGAAGTTTGAGACCAGCCTGGGTAACATGGCAAAACCTTGTCTCTACAAAAAGTACATAAAGTAGCTGGAAATGGTGGCGTGCACCTGTAATCTCAGCTACTTGGGAGGCTGAGGCAGAAGAATCACTTGAACCCAGGAGGTGGAGGTTGTAGTAAGCCAAAATTGCACCACTGCTGCTCTCCAGCCCGGGCAAAAAAAACAAAGAAAGAAAGAAAAGAAATGGAATTTCTGAGAGTGTCACAGTGTCATGTTAGGAAAGGTATATCGGGGTGGGAATATGTCCATATGGGGACAGTACCAGTACCAGCAAGAGGTAACTGTCAGACCTGATGTTTTTGTAGAGCACAAAACTTTCATATAGGCTATTTAATCCTTTGAGTCACTCTGTGTAATAAGGCAAGGATTCTCTTAACAGATAAGAAAATTGATGTTTCAAGATGTCAGTTGCACAGTCATTGTTGGTGGAGCATGGACTGAGTCCTAGATCTCTACCTCTAACTCCAGGCTTTTCCCACTATAACAAGCATTAGAAGATGTTTCTCATTCCAGTCATATGTTGTAAGAGCACTTATGGCTTTGAGGAAAGGGTTGTGTTCAAATTAAAGAAGAGATCCTGTGTAATTTGTAAATTCTGTAGACAGTGACTTATCTGCAAGAAACTCTTCTTCCTGAAGGTAGGATACTTTTTTGCTTAAGATCTGTATAGTCCATCTGGGATCTATATTCTTGCCTGCTGTATTGTAAAAGAATCACAGGATATTTTAGAATGTTGCAGGCATGGGAGGGGCGTTGTCAATTATTTATTCATTTGCCCATTCATCAGTATATGTTTTTCAGATATTGTGTGCCAGGTACCATTCTAAACCTGTAGATACAGTGATGAAGAGAGATGTATATTTGCCCTCAGAGAACCATCTTTACAGTCTATTGGAGGGAATATAAATAAAATTGATGATTAGGATTAAATATGATATGAATTATAGTAAAAGGATTTACAAGTAGTAACTATTATAAGCTTGTTAAGGAAAAAGATATTTCATTTGTCTTTGTATGTCTAGAACCAAACATGATTCCTTGTTCTATAAAGGTTGAAGAGAAACACTTCCTGAATAAGAACTGGAAGAATAAATATATATGTCTTCCTGGGAAAAACAAGGAATGTTTCTCAGAGATTGGAGCTGAGACCTGAAAGATTTTGTTGGTCAGGGGCATATCAGACAAAGGAAACACCATATATAAAGTACGGAGGCTTGAAAAGTTGTGGTATATTTGATGAGTTACAAGTTATTGTGGTATATTTGGGGATTTAAAAGTTATGATGTGAAGTGTGAGGATTGTGCAGATGGGGCCGGACCCCAGTTGTCAGGGACTAGAACACAGTGTTTTCGTCCACCAGAACAAGAAGTTTACATTTTGTCCCATAAGTAGCGAAGCATCACTATAGAATTTACAGTGCTTTCCTCAGCTCCAGAATACTCTAAAAATGAAGAGAATCAGAAAACAAAGATGAATAAATGATATCATATTTTATGACTTTATAATTTGCAAGACATTTTTCTCCTTCAATCTTCACAGCAATCCTGCAAAGTATAATTATCCTTAAACTAAAAATGAGAAAATTAGATATAAGAGAGATTTGTTTATTCTTACATTCTCTCATTCATTCAGCAAATATTCAGGCACTGTTCTACCCACTGGAGACATAATAATAAAACAAATTCACTTTCCTCATGGAGCTTATATTCTTCTGATATGATTATGCCTATGGTCACAGCTAAAAAGAATTATACTAGATTCGATCATCTGATTCAAAATCTCAGGCTCTTTCTACCCTACTACACAGTCTCTAAAGACCAATAGAATCACTGAATGGTGAAAACATTATTAAATTCATTTTGTTTCTATGTTTGTAGCTATGTTTGTAGCTCTCATAATTAGCCTTATTTTATCCTGACTGCCAGCTACTAAATTGTGATGTAGAGGAGGGAGCTGATAAAAGGATGTCTTATCCTTTGGAAATCGTGGTTTTATTCTTTCCCTTTTAATTTCTCTCTCCTAGAATCTACTCTTACATGCTCATTTTAATGTGGGACAAACAAGTAACTATAAAATGGGATTTTTTTTTTTTTTTTTGAGACAGTCTCATTCTGTTGCCCAGGCTGGAGTGTAGTGGCGTGACCTTGGCTCATTGCAACCTCTACTTCCCGGGTTCAAGCGATTCTCAGTTTCTCGAGTAGCTGGGATTACAGGCGCAGGCCACCACTCTCAGCTAACTTTTATATTTTTACTAGAGATGGGGTTTTGCCATCTGGACAGGGCTAGTCTTGAACTCCTGACCCCAAGTGATCTACCTGCCTTGGCCTCCCAACGTTCTGGGATTAAAGGTGTGAGCTGTGCCTAGCCTGGGGTTAATTTTCAAATTTAATTCAGATGCCACAGAAAGTTTCCTAGCAATTTAGAAATGGCTGTAATAGCTGACTATTTATTATATCCGTAGCAGTACCTTGATGATAACACTGTGGAAGCCATGGCCTTTCGGAAGAGTGCAAAGGAATTACTACAGCTAGCAGCGAAAACATTAAACAAATTGGGAATACCATTCTGGCTGAGCAGTGGGACTTGTCTAGGTAAAATTCTTACGACTTTCCATTTGTCTTTTTGTCATTTTGTCCTCTGTCTTTAGGGATTACTGCTTGAGATGACAAAATATCAGTGATATTTGAAGTGTCATGTTTATAAACAGAATAAACATGAGTGCATGCAGCAAGGATCTATTGATTTCTTTAAAGAAATTAATTTGAGAAATATAAAAAAGAATGTTAGAAAGGCCATGTTTGTGTTTACTAAAAATTATAAATAATATGTATAAAATTTGTATTAGAACATGTAGACTATACAATAGTGCCGCCTTATCCATGGGTGATACATTCCAAGACCCCCAGTGGATGCTTGAAATCTCTGATAGTACTGAACCCTAAATACATGGCTTTTTCCTTATACATACATACCTATGATGACATTTAATTTATAAATTAGGCACAGTCAGAGATAAGCAACAATAAATATAATAAAATAAAATGGAACAATTTTAACAATACTATAATAACAGTTGTGTGTGATCTCTGTCTCTCAGAGTATGTTATTTTACTGTACTCAGTGTTGATTTTCTTATGATGGTGTGAGATGATGAAATGCCTGCATGATAAGATGAAGGGAGATGAAGGATGTAACATTACGATGTAATGTTAGACTACTATTGAAAACTTCTGGGCAAATCAAGGAATGTTTCGCAGAGGCTAGGGCTGAGTCCTGAAAGATTTGATGTAACACTTCTGAGTTGTTTATTTCTGGAATTTACCATTTAATATCTTCAGAGTGTAGTTGACTACGGGTAACTGAAACTCCTAAAAGCAAAACCATGGATAAGTGGGGACTTCTATAGTTGATTCTCGGATAAGCCTTAAATTAGCATTTTATTATTTCATCCCAAAGATTATTGCCTTTTAAAAATAATTATTAAAAACCCTTGTTTCTTTACTTATGTGCCATACAAACAGCTTGCATTGCACCAAATGTTTCTAATGAGAGAAACATTGAAGGGAGTGTCATAAGGTCTTCCATCAACCTTTCCTAGATCATTGTTAGTATCACTAATTGGACATCACTGTTCATCTGACATGGCCATACAGACTTTTATATAGTCCTTAAACACATTGCTATTAAAATCTGTGAGTGATTTCTGGGTCTCTGTCCACTGTCTGTTAAATTAAACTTCTTTGGAATTTAGAATTATTTATAATCTTAAATTTTGTTTTGTTTTTATTTGTTATCTTTTGATTATCATGATAATTACAGCTGTATTTGGTTTTTCTTTATTATAACCATATTCGTACAAAAGTTAATTCAACTCCTGCCTTAATAGGGTTGCCATCTAATTTATTGTTCACTTCAAGAGACTTAAGAGTGAAAGGAAGCACCATTAATAATTGTGTTCAGGCATAAACTGGGATATATGCTTATCCCATCTCTTAGCCTTTGTTGAAAATTTACACTGTTCTTCCTGCCAAGGAGCTTACTACTAGAATAAGCCAAAAAAACCCAAAAAACAACAGTACATCTCTCACATCAAGTGATATTTACTTTAAGGTTTAATTTTTTAGAAACAAGATTGTTTTATAATGTGTATCATCAAAGGTATTTCTTAGTCATTTGACATGGTTTGTTTTGAGTTTTTAGTCACATGTTTTTTTGACTTAAGGGCATTTATGAGGGAGTTGTATTAGATGATATTTAAGAAACCTATTTTTAATGGTTTCTAATTCTTTAATAGAATTATTTTAGAATTCCAAACAATATTAATGAATAACAATGTCTATAAGGATAGTCGTAGTCATGTATTTACTTTTGAAATAATTGAAATAGAATGATTAGGAAGATCACAGGGGAGACCCAGGAGTCCTTAACAATGTTAAGGTATATGTTTTATTTCTTTAAAACAATGCTATAGCAACTAACTGAGAGCACATACATGGTAGACACTTAGAAATATCATTTGGCCATGTGTTGAAAATTGAAGCTGTTACTGCTTTTCTGTTTCATATGACTCATTAGGTAGTCACTGTTGAGAGCAGTTAGGTTCTACAAATGATTGCTCAAGAAAAATATATTGGTTAAGCAGAATATATGCAAAAATATTTTTTGCATATCTTAACAGTCCCCTCTATCACTAGAGATTAATGATTAAACATTCTCATCCGCAACTTATTGTTAAAGCTAATGGTTTATTCAGAAACTAAAATATATCATGAAAGTTTTTGAGAAAGCTGAGAGTGCTCAGACAGTGAAAATAGATACAAAATAGAAGGTTCAGGTGTCTACTCCAATAAAGTCATTTAGTTTGAGAGTTAGTTTTTAAAAATAATTTTGGTAAAGCACCTTAAGTCTAATCCTGTGAAATAAAATCCATTTTGTACTCCCAGACACTTGAGAGGCCAAGGCAGGAGGATCACTTGAGCCAGGAGTTTGCATCCAGCCTGGGCAATATAGTGAGACTCTGTCTCTTTAAAAAAAGAAAAAAAATGATTGTTACAAATATCATTTGTTGTAATAACTATTTTTTTCCAAGCCTAAATTTTGTTAACAAAATTTAATCTTCTTTTTAGGATGGTATCGACAATGCAACATTATTCCTTATAGCAAAGATGTCGACCTAGGAATTTTTATACAAGATTACAAATCTGATATTATTTTAGCATTTCAGGATGCAGGACTTCCACTCAAACACAAATTTGGGAAGGTCAGTAAAGGTGGCTTCATTTCATAAGTAACATAGCTCAATTGTAAAGCTTAAATTAAACAACTCAGATATGGTTAAGAATGCTGCATACATAATTTTGTCACTCAGTACTGACTAGGATGAGTTCAGCAGAAGCCTATTACCACTTGTAATTTCTGCACTATCTAGGGAAAAGCAAGAAAATCTTGCTTTCTATTGGGTTAGTGCAAAAGTAATTGCGTTTTTTGCCATTACTTTTGCACCAACTAATAATGATGAGAAAAGAAGGATCTTGAACTCTTATAGGTGAATTTATTGCTATTATATTAGGCAACAATGTAGACAAAATCAATATATATGATATACAATTAATGTAATAAGTAAGAATCCCACCCGCCCTACCTGAAGTTACATTGTTTCTCATGAGTTGTTCAATTTTACAGATGTTATTATCAACATAAAATATTCCATTGATTGCTAAGGGGTAGAAATTATTTGAATCATTTCAAATAAGTACTTCAATTTCTTGTTTATCTTACATGTCCTAGGTTATAGTAGTTTGCTCAGAGGTCAACCAGGGATAAGTCATTGTAGTCTAAATGAAATCTCCCTCTAGACAGTTTGGTTCCTATGCCCTAAGCCCATGATCTCTTGCAATCATTTTGTTCTTAATTTGCTTCTTCCCAGAAAGGTGTTATCCTACAGTAAGCAAGTAAAAATATGTTTAGTCACCAGAAAATTGTTTCTTCCATCATAAATAATTATTCTATTTTACTAAAAAATATAAATAAAATATTTTACTGACGTCAAAGTCAAGTAATAGAGCTCTAGTTATTCAGCAAACATTTATGAAACATTCATTATAAGTCTGGCACTGTCCTTTGCACCTGTGACACAAAGATGAATAAATGATAGTTCTTACCCTTGAGAAGCTCACTGTCTAATTGGGAGGGGGAAAGACTGCATAAATAATTATTCTGTGATTAGTGCTGTGGCAGACAGATGTACCAAGTCCAATGGGAATGTAATTATTTATATGATAAGTTTTCTTGAGGGAGATGTTCTCAGAATTCTTTATTTTTTTACCTTAACTTTTGTTTTTTATTTTTTCCGTGTGTGTAATATAATTATCTAAACTATTTATGTGGCTATGACGAATACCTCTTTACTTAAGTACTTATTTATTGATTGTTATGAGAGACTTGTTTCCTGATAGTTTTATTTGGTTATTCAAGGAAATAATATTTCTAATATTTCTTTGGTTCTTTTCCTTCTTTAGTCAGAAAGCTGCTCTGGAATAGGATGTTTCTTTTTTTTTTCTTTTTTTTTTTTTCTGCAGTGATAATTACCGTAAGTCATTTATTCTGAGTTATCATCAATTGTAAGAAACAACATTATTTTAGATGCAGTTAAGAAATTAAATGATGTTACTGATACATCCCAATTTCAGAGGTGCTTTAACTTGAAAAAAAGTACATCTTAGAATGAATACTCTGTGTATGTAAAACATAAGAATCTGTTTCTTTATTTAAAAAAAATCTTTTTAAAAATGTATTTCCTTTGTTTCAGTGTGTGAAGGTTTTCATCTTTCCCATAGGTAGAAGACAGCTTGGAACTATCCTTCCAGGGAAAGGATGATGTGAAACTTGACATTTTTTTCTTCTATGAAGAAACTGACCACATGTGGAATGGAGGCACTCAGGCCAAAACGGGAAAAAAATTCAAGTATGAATCAAATAAGTACTTATAAAGGCACTGCAGAAATAATTTCAGGAGGTAGAAATAAAGAAGTAACTGAAAATGAAAAGAAAACCAAAGACCGCTTTCAAGACTCCATTATTATTAGCTAACACTTTCTTAGCTTATCCATAGAGTCTGTTTATGCCTGTGAAGTGAGAATATCTATAAGGACAGTTTGTGAGGAGGAATTGTCTCTGGGTTTGTCAGTTCAAGCTGATGATGCAGCTGGTCTATTCTCAGTTCTGAGAGAGAGAATGGGAACCTGAAGAGCTTATGTTTTGAGTCAGGCTGACCTGGGAAACCTTAGCTCCATCCTAATTTGTGGCGTTCAGCTTTTTTTAACAGTAATCACTTTATCTATTACATTGAGTAATACTACCATGTGTCATTTTACATATTCGGAACATTTTACATGTATTAACCCATCTAATCCTCAAAACAACCTTCAGAGGTAGATATTCTGAAGCCAGGGTGCTTGCTCTTGAATACCAGCTCTTTATTTTACCAGCTATGTTACCTTGAGCAAGTTATTTAACCTCTCTGCTTAAGTTTCCTCAGCTGTAAAATGGCAGTTACGCTAAAAATTGCCACAGAGTGGTTTTAAGGATTAAAAATTAATACACAAAAAGAGCTTTGAGTAGTGTCAGGATGTCCTGGGTGCTAAGTAATTATTAGCTGCTGTTACTACTACTACTGTAGTAGTACTAGTAGTAGTAAACTATTTCTCTTCTTAGTCTCATGAGAAATTTATAGATTAGAGACCTGTATAGTTATCTCAGTATTAAACTGTTACGTCAGTTCTTAGAGAACTTGTATGAGAGTGTTACCTTTTTTCTAAGAAAGAATTTTTAGAGCCAAGTATTAGAATCCTGTTATTCTTAAATTTCTTTCTAAGGCTTGAATTTTTTTCTCTCACTGACATGATCCGAAACCTGCAAATCTCAAAAGAACCGTTCATTTCCAACTACTACATATCTGGATAGAAAAAGCTTCTTTCATTCTGCCTTAACAGCTCTTTATAGTAGCAGTGTTTGGGAAGTGTGAAGTATTCTGATTATTTAGCAAGAGAAATGAGCAGTGATAGAACTGTCTGGACAGATGGTGTAAGTCCCAGATTTTCTATCATGTTACTGTGACCTTAAAAGGCAGAGAAAAGAACAGGAGATGGCTGAGTAGAGTAGTTTCTTTGGAAGATTCCCCCAGCCATATGCCATTTTTATTCTTTGCAGCACTATTTACTTTAAGAAAATGTAGTATTTTTAACATTACTATTCCTTGCGGATGAAGAAAAACAAAATATTTAAGCTAGCTGAGGGGTCTTTTTAATGGATTTTAAATTTTTGAATAGATTATATATTACATAGTTAAACAATTCAAAGAATGTAAAGGATATGTGTGAAAAAACCTTTCTCTATCCTCTGCCCCTTATTTTCCTGTTTCTAGGTGTCCTTTCCAGAAATAACCATGATTACTCATTTCTTATGTATCCTTTCAGAGACCGATGTATGCTTGTATACATATAGTATTTACATTCATCTCTCTCCCTTTACACAAATAGTATTATAGTATATTACATATTGTATGTTCTTTTCCTCACATATCTACATATCTTGGAAAATGTTCCAAATTAGTATATATAGAAATGGCTGTACTTTATTTCATTGTATGACAATACCATAATTTATTCAACCAATTCCCTATTGATGAATATTTAAGCTGTTTCCAGTAGTTTGCTGTGACCCTCAGTTCTGCAATGACTGTATCTCTGGCCACATGTCTTTATGCATATGTGTGAAACACTCTGTAGGATAAAGTATTAGACTCAAATTTTGGGGTTAAAGGGAATATAAGCATATTTCAATTTTGATAGATACTGCCAAATTGCCCTCCAAAGAGATTTCCCCAATTTATATTCTCAACAACATGGTTTGAGAATATGGGTTTATTTTTTAAATGTGCACTCTCTGTAAAGAGAGGTAAACCTGCTTAATATTTGCCACTAATCAGTAACTAATCAGTTACTTGTATTCAGTAACTAAATCTACCAGACACCAAATATAGTTGGGAGAACGTTAGAATTACTATTGAAACTAGTCAGTGTAATGCATCGTCTCCCCTTCCCTAAAGGTCTTTTTATCTTTCTAATAATCTATTTCTTATTTTATATACAGTTCATTCTGAGAAAAAGCTTAATAATACAGCATGTTTACGATTTTTAAAAAGACGAGGAACTCAAGAAGGAAGAGAAAAGATTTTCTTTATACACTACTCTGCAGGCCTACCAAATGATCTCTTTGGTCCCAAGATTTAATAACATATTAACAGTAATAATAAAGATGTAGCTACCAGGATATCTGCTAGCTATTAGCCACTGTGATAGGTAGTTCATATATATAATCCGGTTAATCTTCATACTATCCCTGTGGGTTCGGTATTCTCACCTCCAGTTAGACATTAGGAAACGAAAACTCAGAGTGAAGTAACTTACTCGAGGCTTTTGGCTGTTGATGGATTTAATGCCAGATGTGTCTGACCCTCAGGTTAAGTGAATTAGTACGTATAATGCCATTTGGAATGGTACCTGGCACATTGTAAGTATTGTGTAAGTAGTAGCTACTGTCAGTACTGTATTATTATAACTGTTACTGTTATTATTATTACCATGCTGCATTGGCATAAGGTATGGTACCTTCAGCACGGTGGTAAATTGGATTAGTAATTTTCTAGGCAGGCATTTTCTTCCCCCGTCTCATGCTACTCATTCCATCTTTAGTTCTCAGTCTTTCGCTCCTTTCTAGGACACCCTTCTTTCACCTGAAATCCAATTTCCATTTAAAAATGTTGACTGGATTCTTTATTATGTTTTTCTCCAGCATCCAAATCTGCCAGTAATAAAAGTGGCTAATATAACAACTCTGCCTATAGAATGTGAAGTTTTTATTCTTCAACTTCACATTTGCTAAAGATGCTGTGTAGATTTATTTGGTTTGTTTCTTTCCTTCCCATTTGAATCACCTGGTAAGGGTAGAGACCAGAAGCTTGAAAGGTAATAATAATAGTTAACTTTATTGAATACTTACTATAAGCCAAGCACCATCCCAAGCTTTTATATGTGTTATCTTGTTTAATCCTCACAATAAGTTTATAAAGGAGATTTTATCATGATCACCTGTATTTTATGGACAAACAAATTAAGGCAAACCTGAGTCAGACCCAGGTCTATATCACTTCAGAGCCCATGTTCTTACCAGTATACTGTTAGTGTCATCATGATCTCTACCGTGCTGTTAATAACCCCTCCATGAAAACATTACCAAGGTAATACAGCTATTGCTGTATCCTCTAATAGGAAATCTACTCCTTGGGCTAGTCGTGAGTTCCCTGTACCTTCTGATAGTTATGGTTTCTGCTTATTGGATAAATCTTCAGAAAATTCGGATTCATCCTCTGTGGACCACACTCTTATCCAAGTGTGGATTTTATGTAATTTATCATTCATTTCTGTAAAATGTACTTACTAACTGCTGTGTGCTAAGGATACTGATGTGACTGTAACTTACTTTCTGCTCTGAAGGATCTCATGATCTAGACCATGAAACATGTTAAAGTACTCTGATAGCAGTACTGTAATCAAATATGTATAATCTGTAGTTAGGTACCAAATCAGCCATATCTAGAAACAATGGCAAAGAAGTGTGGCTTAAAAGTAATTTGTTGGGGGAACGATCCAAGATGGCCAATCGATAACGGCTTGGGATTGCAGCTCTCAAAGTGCAGAGAACTAGAGGATGCCACACTTTCAGACAAATTCTGGTCACTCACGGAGCAGAAGATCCCCAGCGGAGGAACCACACAGGTCGCTAGTGCGACTCTTGTGGCCTGCGCAGCGGTTTCGCTGGCACCTCGGCGCGGCAGCTTTCAGAGCAGAGTAAACAGGGCTGGCTCCCCTTCTGACCGAGGCTTGGAGGACCCACACGGGTCCCCAGCACGACTCCTGAGGCTGGTGCAGCAGCTGTGATGGCACCTCAGCGCGGCAGCTCTTGGCGCAGAGTAAACGAGACTGGTTTCCCTTCTGACCGAGGTTTGGAGCCCTGGGAAGGCAGAGTCGCCCATTACGGACACAAGAAGGAAACCAGACAGGAGAATCCTGGGCAGAAAAGCACCATCAGTCTTAACATTGCCGTTCTGGCCCTGGGAACTAACAACTTGGACGTCTACTCAAGAGACCTAATCTGAAAATTGGTAATTTCAAAGATGACAGGAGGATAAATTTACAATGATGGGAAGAAACCAGCGTAAAAAGGCTGAGAATACTCAAAATCAGAACACCTCTCCCTCTAAAGATGATCATAGTTCCACATCAACAATGGAACAAGGCTTGATGGAGAACGAGTGCATCCCAATGACAGAATCACTCTTCAGGGAATGGATAATAAGAAACTTCTGTGAGTTAAAAGAACATGTTGTAGCCCAACGTAAAGAAACTAGGAACTTTGAAAAAAGGTTTGACGAAATCCTATTGAGAATAGACAACTTAGAGAGGAATATAAGTGAATTAATGGAACTGAAGAATACAATTCAGGAACTCTGAGAAGTATGCACAGGTTTAAACACTTGAATTGTTCAAGCAGAAGAAAGGATATCAGAGGTCAAAGTCCAACTTAAAGAAAACAAGAAGACAAGATTAGAGATAAAAGGATAAAAAGGAATGAGCAAAGTCTCCAAGAAATGTGGGACTATGTGAAAAGACCAAATTTACGTTTGATAGGTGTACCTGAATGTGACGGAGAGAATGAATCCAAGCTGGAAAATACTCTTCAGGATATTATTCAGGAAAATTTTCCTGAACTAGCAAAGCAGGTCAATATTCAACCCCAGGTAATACAGAGAACACCACAAAGATATTCCTCAAGAAGAGCAACCCCAAGGCACATAATCATTAGATTCACCAGGGTTGAAACGAAGGAGAAAATACTAAGGGCAGCCAGAGAGAAAGGTCAGGTTACCCACAAAGGCAAGCCTATCAGACTTACAGCAGTTCTCTCAGCAGAAACTCTACAAGCCAGAAGAGAGTGGGGGCCAATATTCAACATCCTCAAAGAACAGAACCTTCAGCCCAGAATTTCATATCCAGCCAAACTTAGCTTCACAACTGAAGGAAAAATAAAATCTTTTATGAACAAGCAAGAACTCAGAGATTTTATTACCACCAGGCCTGCTTTACAAGAGCTTCTGAAAGAGGCATTACACACAGAAAGAAACAACCAGTATTAGCCTTACTAAAAATATACCAAAAAGTAAAGAGCACCAACATAAAGAAGAATTTTCATCAACGAATGGATAAAACAGCCAGTTAACATCAAATGGCAGTAACCCTAAATTTAAATTGACTAAATCCCCCAATCAAAAGACACAGCCAAAACCCAACGGCATGTTACATCCAGACCTGTTTCACATGCAAGGATACACAAAGACTCAAAACAAAGGAATGGAGAAAGATTTACCAACCAAATGGAGAGCAAAAATAAATAAATAAATAAATAAATAAAAAGAAGGAGTTGCAATTCTCATAGCGGATAAAATAGATTTTAAAGCAACAAAGATATAGTGGTAAAAGGATCAATGCAACAACAGAGCTAACGATTCTAACACCCAGATACATAGAGACTTAGACACAATGAGACAGAAAATTAATAAGGATATCAAGGACTCGAACTCAGATCCGGAACAAGTAAACTTAATAAATATTTATAGAGCTCTCCACTTCAAATACATAAAATATACATTCTTGTCAATACCACATCACACCTACTCATAGGTTTAAATGAAACATTGATTGGCCATTATTAATACCCATTTTTTTTCAGAATAAAGCAATATTTCTGTTCACCCTCCCTTTCTCTCTTCCTCTTTCTTTCTCTCCTTTACTTATTTTTTTTTTCTTTCCTTCTCTCAAAAAAAGAAATCAACTTGTAAACCTCTAGATCCAGGTCGGCAATGTCTCTCTCATTGCTTGAATTCCTTCCTTCCCTTCCCTCCCTCCCTCCCTCCCTTCCTTCCTCCCCCCCTCCCTCCCCCCCTTCCTCCCTTCCTTCCTTTCTTCATTCCTTCCTTCCTCCCTCCCTTCCTCCTTCCCTCCCTTCCCGCCTTCCTCCCTTCCTGCCTTCATCCCTTCCTGCCTTCCTCCCTTCCTCCTTCCCTCCCTAAAAAAAAAAAAAAGTAATTTGTTAGGGAGACTTAGGAGAAATGTGGAAAAAGGCCTAAAAATAGGTTTATTTAACTATTTTCTAATTAGTTTATTTATATTTTTTAATTTAAAAAATTCTGTGGGCATCTGTATTCATAAAGTAAAAACTTTATTAGGGGGTTGTTTTCTTTAATAGATACCCAAAGGTGGAATTAGTAAGTCAGACAATATAAGCCTTTTAAAGAGTTTTGATACGTATTGCCAGATTGCATTCCTAAAAAGTTATTCAAATATGTATACAGTCACCAACATAAATGGGTGTGCTTAGTTTGCTAAATCATACTGAATTTTGCATTGTATTCAGTCATTCATGACTCCCCTCATCGTTTCTTTGAGTAACTTTTTTCACTTTCTTTTCGTTATTCCAAGGTATCTTCTATCATAAAACCAGGCCAATCATTAATAGCAAGTTACCATCAATTACTACCTTTCTGGCCAGGAGCGGTGGCTCATGCCTTTAATCCCAGCACTTTGGGAGGCCAAGGTGAGAGAACTGCTTGATCCCAGGAGTTCGAGACCAGCCTAGGCAAAAAATGAGACCCTGGCTTTATATAAATTTTTTTAGAAAATTACCCAGGTACGGTGGCATGTGCCTGTGGGCCCAACTACATGGGAGGCTGAGTTGGGAGGATCACCTGAGCTCAGGAGATCTAGGCTGCAGTGAGGCACAGTGCACTACTGCACCACTGCACAGCCTAGGTGACAGAGCAAAACCCAAAAAAAAGAAGAAAAGAGAAAAAAAGTATTACTTTTCTGTTAACTATTCCAAACATCAGCTGTCTTTTAATACACATCTAACCACCTCCCTGCCGTTCCCCAGTCTCCCTTTCAAAATCCAGCTTTAAAATATTACAGTCCATTTTGAATGCCTGGTTATAGGTGTTTGCTAGACACTTATTATGTAGAGACTTTTATATCGAAGCTTTATACAAGTGTGATTTTAGGTCAGTGAGTCCAGGAATTAGAAGACTTGGATTCAAATTGGAGTTCTGTTTTTTTATGTCATATAACCTACTGAGCTTCAGATTTCTCCTCTGTAAAATGGGAATAGCACTGTATACTTCACAGGGTATAATGCTTAGATTAAATAATTTGTAGTTACCTGATTCAGTGCTTGGCACATAATAGATTCACAGCTGTTTGTTAATTCTTTTTTTTATTTTTTTAAATTTTACTTTAGGTACATACAATATCTGGCATTTCTCCCCATGTTACCCCTCCCCACCCCCTGCTGTCTCTCCCCTACCCCCCAACTGCCCACAGTGTATGATGCTCCTCTCCCTGAGTCCACATGTTCTCATTGTTCAACACCCACCTATGAGTGAGAACATGTGGTGTTTGGCTTTCTGTTCTTGTGCCAGTTTGCTGAGAGTGATGGTTTCTAGATTCATCCAAGTCCCTACAAAGGACACCAACTCATTGTTTTTTATGGCTGCGTAGTATTCCATGGTGTATATGTGCCACATTTTCTTTGTTCAGTCTATCATTGATGGGCATTGGGTTGGTTCCAGGTCTTTGCTATTGTAAACAGTGCTGCAATGAACATTCGTGTGTATGTGTACTTATAGTAGAACGATTTATAGTCCTTTGGATATATACCCAGTAATGGGATTGCTGGGTCAAATGGAATTTCTATTTCTAAGGCCTTGAGGAATTGCCACACTGTCTTCCACAATGGTTGAGCTAATTTACACTCCCACCAACTGTGTAAAAGTGCTCCGAGTTCTCCACATCCTCTCCAGCATCTGTTGTCTTGAGTTTTTAATGATCACCATTCTAACTGGCGTGAGGTGGTATCTCAATGTGGTTTTGATTTGCATTTCTCTAATGACCCGTGATGATGAGCATTTTTTCATATGTTTGTTGGCCTCATATGTGTCTTCTTTTGTAGGTGTCTGTTCATATCCTTTGCCCACTTTTGAATGGGTTTGTTTGTCTTTTTCTTGTAAATCTGTTTTAGTTCTTTGTAGGTTCTGGATATTAGCCCTTTATCAGATGGGTAGATTGCAAAATTTTTTCCCATTCTGTTCATTGCCAGTTCACTATAATGATGGTTTCTTTTGCTGTACAGAAGCTCTGAAGTTTAATTAGATCCCATTTGTCTATCTTGGCTTTTATTGCCATTGCTTTTGGTGTTTTAGTCATGAAGTCCTTGCCTATGACTATGTCCTGGATGGTTCTGCCTACATTTTCTTCTAGTGTTTTTATGGTGTTAGGTTTTATGTTTAAATCTTTAATCCATCTGGAGTTAATTTTAGTGTAAGGTGGCAAGTAGGGGTCCAGTTTCAACTGTTTGTTAATTCTAAATTAGGCAGGCAGAGCATAGAAATCTGATTAGGAAAATTCATTGCTAGGTAGCAATTAGAAAAAAAATCACATAGTAATGGATTAAAGCCTACCAAATGTTATAAAGATGAATATAAACTTGTATTACATATAACTGCAGAGAGATATAGTTTACAGGAATAAACATGTAGAGTACTGATTCTACAGAAGTTTTCTGTGAAAGTGAGGGTTCAGCCAGCACAATTTGAATGACGGTTGTTGAATGGGAAATTGCTATTAAATTAGATTTGGTTGCTTCTAGGAAAGGAGACTTATGGCCATGGAGAGATGATATTGGGTAATGTAAACCGGTTAATTGGCAGAAGGTCTTGTTTGGTGGGGTTTTTGATGGGATGTAATAAAGAATGTCTCTCATAAGGCTTTGGTGGAGAATGTAGTAAGACATGAGTCCTATTGAGGAATATTGTTCTTGCTAGTGTGTGTAGGCATGGAAAGCTGGTATAGTGAGTAAGACTTGGGTGGTTGAGGACCTATACTAAACAGGAGGTGACTCAAAGAAGTGGTAAAAGGTCTTAGCACCATGCCTGGTTATGAACAAGGGGAGTCCAAGAAAACTAAGTGTCCAAAATAACATATAACTTTATATCTTAGAGCCTGAGAAAAATTAGGAAATAGTGGATTATTAAGTTTTTAATTGAAGTGTATCATACATACAGAAAAGTACACAAAGCAAATGTATAACTCCAGGAATTAATGAACAAATATGTAACCTACACCCCAGTAAAAAAAAAAATAGGTGCTTGTCAGCACCCCAGAAACCCATATCATTTTCCCTTATGATCACAGCTCCTGTTTCCCACAAGGTAACAGCTATGCTAACTTCTGATATTACAGTTTAGTTTTACCTGTTGTTTTTTTAAATTTTGTGTAAACTGGGTGATAATGTTGCTGGCTTCCTTTCATTCAACATTGTATTTGTGAGAACCATTTATATTTTTGCATGTTGTAGCTATTCAGTCATTTTCTTTGCTGTGTAGTAGTTAATTACATGAATATGTCACAAATATTTATTAAGTCCACTAACCCAAATATTAGTTGGGAATTTGGGTTGTTTTCAATTTGGGGCTATTATAGATGATGCTGTAGTGAACATTTCTGTGCATGTCTTTCAGCGCCCTGGTACATGCTTATCTTAGTTTGCTTAGGCTGCTATAACAAAATACCATAAGCTGAGTGCTCATAAACAACAGAAATTTATTTCTCAGGGTTCTGGATGATGGGAAGTCCAAGATAAAGGTATCAGTATGATCCAGTTCTGGTGAAGGGCCCTCCTAGTGGTTGCAGACCGCTGACCTCTCCTCCCATGGTGGAAGGAGCAGGCAAGTTCCCTTGGGCCTCTTTTTTAAAAGTTCCATTCAAAAGCGTTCCACCCTCATGACCTAATCACCTCCCACAGGTCTTACTTCTTACACTGGCACCTTGGAGATGAGGCTTTCAGCATGTGAATTTTGAGGAGATGTAAACATTCAAACCACAGCAATGTTTTTCTATTGGGTTTATACATAAAGTGTGAGATTGCTTGGTCATAGGGTATTCATATGTTCAGTTTTGGTGTATTATTTACAAATAGTTTTCCCAAGTTTGTTATTCTAAGTTATGTTCCAATAAGTTATAGAACTTCCCATTGCCCCACATTCTTACTAACACTTGGCATTGTCAGACTTCCTAATTTTTAGCCATTTTGGTAGGTGTGTAGTGTTACCAAATTGTAGTTCAGATTTCCATTTCCCTGACTCAATGAAAGCAAGTTCATGTTTGTTGACGATTTGGATATCCTCTTTTGTGAGTTATCTGCTGAGTGTCTTGTCAGTTTTGTTTTTAATTTGAGTTGGCTGTCTTTTTCTTACTTGAAAATATTACCTCCCAATCTGTACCTTTCTTCTTTACTCTTTTTGTTTGTTTGTTTTGGAGTGCAGTGGTACGATCTCGGCTCACTGCAACCTCCACCTCCCAAGTTCAAGCAGTTCTCATGCCTCAGTCTCCTGAGTAGCTGGAATCACAGACACACTCCATTACACCCAGCTATTTTTGTATTTTTAGTAGAAACGGGGTTTCACCATGTTGCCCAGGCTGGTCTTGAACTCCTGACTTCAAGTGATCTGCCTGCCTTGGCCTCCTAAAGTGCTTGGATTATAGGGATGAGCCGCCCTGCACCCAGTCCTTTACTCTCTCTCTCTTACTAGTGATTTTTGATCAATAAAAAGTTATTAATTTTAATGTAGTTCAGTTTATTTCTTTCCCTATCTCAAGGTAATGAAGCTATTCCTCCTATACCACCTTCTAAAAACTTTATTGTTCTGTGTGTAATATGAAGTAAAGATCAAGTTTAGACTGTATACCTTATTTGGATTCACTAGTTTTCTACTAACGTACTTTTTCTGTTCTGAGATCTAATCTAGGCTACCACATTGCATTTAGACACACTACCTTTTGAAATTTGATTTTAGTCCAAGATTTTAAGCTTGTCACTGGTAATGCCAAATTATTGTACATCATCGCATGTCCCAGTTCTGCTCATTCAAGGGCCTTGAGTTCCTGTCTCTTTGTACTAGCTTCTTGGTACCTCTATCTAGAAATAATCTTCTCTTCCTCTGCATTACTATAGATTTTCTTTTTCTTTACCTCTCTCTTACTTTTTTGGAGTACTTTTGCTGATTAGTCTGCCCTTTCTACGTGATAGGTAAAATCAGGCCTGGTACATGTTACTTGTTTGGCCTGAGACTAAGTGAGACCTGGAGTCCTATATGAAACTATAAGTCAGATCCTCTTAAGTGATGATAGGGTGACACTAGGTTGATGCCTTTATCCAACCTAACGCCTTTGGAGAATTAAAGCTATAATTAAGTTAGCCTAGTAGTTTTCAATCATTTTGCTTCACAGGAAGTTAAAGATTAAAGGTAGTTGTTGAATCCTCACTGATCGTCTCTCTCAGTTTTACAGATTGATATTGTGCTCCTATAGTTATAACTGCAAGAAACGCATTTGTCTTTTTAGTACTTACAGCTGTGAAGCTAAAGGCAAATTTGAGTAATTTTTTTAAATGAGTGTATTTAAAACATTGACTTTTCTAAAAATGATCTCATATTTTCTGCTCCATTTATGCCTTTATATTTTACAACATACAGATTATGTCTTAGGTCTCCTTAATTATACTGCCAAACCACTAGTAATTAGCAGGTGCAAAATTGAGAAATTGAGAGAAGAACTTTGAAAGAACTGCTTTTGGAAGTTATACAGTTATGCATGTTATATGGTAATTGTATACAATATGTAGACATGGCAGTTATTTATATAGCAAGCTTTGTTTATTTCTTTAAGAGAAGATTGCCTCCAGATGAATAAACAGCGAATCTTTCATTTATGTGAAGTAAATTATATTTTTTAAGACTGCTACCTCACACCAGTTAGAATGGCGATCATTAAAAAATCTGGAGACAACAGATGCTGGAGAGGATGTGGAGAAATAGGAACACTTTTACACTGTTGGGGGGAGTGTAAATTAGTTCAACCATTGTGGAAGACAGTGTGGCACTTCCTCAAGGACCTAGAAACAGAAATTCCATTTGACCCAGCAATCCCATTACTGGGTATATACCCAAAGGATTATAAATCATTGTATTATAAAGACACATGCACATGTATGTTCATAGTGGCACTGTTTACAATAGCAAAGACCTGGAACCAACCCAAATGCCCATCGACGATAGACTGGACAAGGAAAATGTGTCATATATACATAATGGAACACTATGCAGCCATAAAAATGATGAGTTCATGTCCTTTGTAGGGACATGGATGAATCTGGAAACCATCATTCTCAGCAAACTGGCACAAGAACAGAAAATCATACACCACATGTTCTCACTCATAGGCAGGTGTTGAACAGTGAGAACACATGGACACAGGGAGGGGAGCATCACACACAGGGGTCTGTTGGGGGGGCCAAGGGAGGAATAGCAGGAGTGGGTGGGGAGGTCGGGGAGGGATAACATGGGGAGAAATGCCAGATGTAGCTGACAGGGGGATGGAGGCAGCAAACCACATTGCCATGTGTGTACCTATGCAACAATCCTGCATGATCTGAACATATACCCTAGAACCTAAAGTACAATAAAAAAACAAAAAACCAAAAACAAAACCTGCAGTATATTTTGTTGTTTGAACATAATTCTATAAGATGATATTCTAAGATAAATAAAAACATATTTTCAGTAAAGACTTGTACACAAATGTTTATAGTAGTCTTACTCAACGCCAGCAAGAAATAGAAGCAACCCAAATGCCCATCTGCTGGTGACTAGCTATAAAATTATGATAAATTCAAACAATGGACTACTACTGAGCAATGAGTAGCAATGAACTACTGATAAATGCAATACATGGATGAATTTCTAAAACATGACGCTAAGTGAAAGAAGTCAGATAGGACAAGTATATACGATGTATTTGCTTTTATTTGAAATTACACAGGAAAAAGCATTCAAGAGTCTAATAAGATTAGTGGTTGCCTAGGGCCAGGGTGGGTTGATTGCTTGACTGCCAAGGAGCACAGGGAACTTTAGACAGGGAGTTGGTAGAAATGTTCTATTTCTTGATTATTGTGGTGGTTACACAGGTATATACATTTATCAAAACTCATCACTTAAAAATTGATGCATTTCATTATACTTAAGTTATACCTCAAAAGAAGTTACCTTAAAAGGTTAAGACCTGACACAGTAACCCATGTCTGTAATTGTAGCATTTGGGGAAGACAAGCTGAGAGGATCAGTTGAGTGCAGGAGTTCAAGACAAGCCTGGGCAGCGTAGGGAGACCCAATGTCTACAAAAGAAATTAAACACTAAACTTAAAAAAGATTAAAAAGATGAAAAACAGTTTGTGACTTAGAAAACTGATGCTAAGAGAAAAAGGGTCTGAGATCACAGGTTGAAACAGAGGGATATATGGGACCAAAAGCAGTGAATTTGATCAGGGCAGACCTAATTGCAATGATAAACTTTGACACTTTCACATATGATTAAACAAATTGGGTAATCTGATGATAGTTTAAAAGCCTCTTGTATTGAGTATGAAAATTGAAATTATAATTTGAATTCTTTTAAAAATTATCTATTATATGTAAGGAGAAGTCCTGTAAAAACTGTCTGAAGGAAAGCAAGCACAACTGGAATCTAACTGGTTGCTGAAGAGCTGTAGATCTAGATTTTGGAAGTTATGCAGTTATCTAGAGCTATAGAGTTTTTGGAAGTTATATAGTTATATCCCACGGCTTTGTCCTCTGGCATTGAGGAAAACTTTTGTACTTGTTTTAAATTGATAGTTCTTAATGTAGTCATTATGTATATGCATTCAGGTATTAAATTATATCAGTCTGTACAGGGTTTAATTTGTCTACTCCTTATTCTTGATAGAATAAATTTTTTCTTGTTTTTCCTATGGTACAGATAACTACTAGTTTTGTCACTGGGGCAGTGGTCTTATGGGGATTGCATAGGAAAGTTAATAGTAGGATAAATGGAATCACTCATGTGCTGTTAAAGTCAGTAGGAACATGAAGTTTAAGAGGTAAAATTTTACTTTATAAAACACGTATATTCCTCACCCCCCATATATAAAACGTTAAAAGTTTAGGATGGGGGGTGGAGAATGGGATTAATAAAGATCTCAGAGAGACTGTAACCCAGCGTAGGCTCTGAAAAGTATGTTAGCAATTCCTTTATCACTCCTTTGCTTCTGTTATCTATGGTGGGATTGTGCAAGGTTTAGTAAAAGAGGTGGTTAAAGTACTAGGCAGCACACTGTAACCTTGGTTTTCAAGAGTTGAGTCTAATTCTTAGATGACTATTTAAGGGCAGTGTTGGTGATGATGACTTATGATTAATGTGACACAGTCATTTTTTACTTTGCCACATTTCCTTTGCTCCAAACACAAAACACTGATGAATATATCTAAAAGATAGAGCTGAGCTAAAAGAAAATAGAGTAGATTATGAAAAGCAATATTTCAAGACAATTTACAAATTAAAGACAGACAAGCAGGATAAATAATAAATCCAAGGTACTTCTTAAGGAAACCAATATCAAAACAAAAAATGTTATAGGATACCAGAGAAAATGGGTTCCTGACAAAGGAGTAGCAAGTACACCTTAGCAACAATAGAGGTCAGAGATAATGTAGTAACATCTCGCAAAAGCGGAGGAGAAATATTTGTCAACTTAGAATGTTATGTACAGTTAAAACTAACATTCAAGAATGACATCAAAGTAAAACATTTACATATATATATACAAAGACTAAAAGTTTATGCCTCACAGATCCACACTTAGAGACGTGAAAGAACCCAGAAGGAAGACATGATATATATGAAATGATGGTGAACAGAAAAATGAATTAAAAGGTCAGTAAATTTGTTAACCATTGCGTATAAAAAAAATGCCAACTAATGTATTAAAATGAGAAAGGAAGCCAGGCACAGAAAGACAAACATCACATATTCTCACTTATAGGTGGGATCTAAAAACAATTGAACTCAGGCATATAGAGAGTAGAAGGATGAGGCTAGGTGCAGTGGCCCATACCTGTAATCCCAGCACTTTGGAAGGCTGAGGTGGGTGGATCACTTGAGGCCAGGAGTTGAAGACCAGCCTGGCCAACATTGTGAAACCCCGTTTTTACTAAAAGTGCAAAAATTAGCCAGGCACGGTGGCACATGCCTGTAATCCCAGCTACTTGGGGGGCCGAGGCATGAAAATCACTTGAACCCAGGAGGCAGAGGTTTCAGTGAGCCAAGATTGCACCACTGCATGCCAGCCTGAACAACAGAGCGAGACTCTGTCAAAAAAAAAAAGAGAGAGAGTAGAAGGATGGTTATCAGAAGCTGAAAAGGGGCATGAGGGGGGAAGGTGGGGATGGTTAATGTGTGCAAAAAAAAATAGTTATAAAGAACAAATTAGGCTATTTGATAGCACAAAAGGGTGACTATAGTTATAACTTAATTATACATTTTAAAATAACTAAAAGAGTATAATTGATTGTAATACAAAGCATAAATGCTTGAGAGTATGGCTGCCCTATTCTCCATGATGTGATTATTATGTACTGTATGCCTGTATCAAAACATCTCATATATTCTGTAAATATATACACTTACTATGTACCTACAAAAATTAGAAATTAGAAAAAGAGAAAAGTCAAAAAACTCTTGACATAAGTTGAGGAAAAGGTGATATATCAGTGTTCAAAGAGTAAAGTATACTAAGTTTCATGTTTAGAAAGAGGGTAAAGATTCTGCATAAATTTACTTTTTAATAGAAAATGTTATAGTGAAGTAATATGTTTTAAAATAAACAGTAACTAGCATAGCAATATTATCTACAACTTCCAAACAGAATGAAAGGAAATATATAAACCTTTATCAATCCAAGTGAAAGTTTCAGATGTGGAGGAGAGGGTCAAAGAAAAAGAATGGTAAATCGAAAAGTTGAAAATAATTGTACTATGTTGACAATAGTCAACACTGTTAACAGTACTTTGTGTCTTAAACACTGTTCTGAGCACTTTACATTTATTTATTCATTCTGTACTAACATCTCTGAGGTGTAGGTACTATTATTATCCTCATTTTATAAATGATGAAATTAAGGCCCAAAAAAGATTGATGAGGTCATACAACTAATAATTGGTGAAGCCAGGACTTGAGCCCTGGCAGGCTGACTCTAGAGTTCAAAATAAGTTCAACACACAGTTTATCACAATAAATATAAAAAATACATAAATGAATTAAACTAACCTATAAAAAGACAAAGATTATCAAATGAGGGAGCAAAATTTAGATATATAATGCTTGCAAGAGGCACATCCCAAGCAAAACCACATAGAAAGGTTAAAAGTTACAGAGATGAAAAGCTGTACCCCAATATAATTAACCAAAGAAAACTGGCATTATAGTATTAGTATCAGACAGAAGAGAATTTTAGAGGGGAAACATTAAAGGATCAGAAGGCTCATTACAGAATCTCAAAGAAACAGTTTACCAAGAATAAATGATATTCATGAGCTTACATGACTAACAATATGGTTAAAAATATAAATCAGAAACTGATGAAATTCTAATGAATATTTAATATGTTCACAATTGTGGTGGGAGATTCTTACATGCTTTTATTTTTTTAAATTGCTGAAGACCAGGCACAGTGTGGCTCATGCCTGTCATACTAGCACTTTGGGAAGCTGAGGCGGGAGGGTCACTTGAAGCCAGAAGTTTGAGACCAGCCTGGGCAACATAGTGAGACCTCATGTCTGTAGAAAACAGTTTTAAAAAATTAGCGGGGCATTGTGGCATGTACCTATAGTCCC